ATCGCGCGCGCGGTGGCGCGCCAGCCATCCAGCCGACCAATCAATCAACCGGCCATCCCAGGACACACCCAGCTCCGAACCCAGCCATTCGAAAAAAAGCGACGGGAAAGACCAAAAAGCAAGGACACAGATGCAATTTCCTACCGATCCCGATCTCCCGCAATTGGCCCAACCTTCCCAACTTAGGACCCCTCATTGCAACCGCGCAGAAAGTCGCACGTTACAGAAAGTGGTTCGTCACATATGTGACGCCCAGGGGGTTCCAATATTAGCAAGTTCCTGCTTGCTTGTTGACACGTGTCGATTTCTCTAATCGATCGATACGCGGAGCATCTCTCTCTATGCCACTTATCGTTCAATTGAGTGTGGACGTCATCCAACGTGGCAACACTTCTCTTCTACTAATTCCTCAGGGTGGGCTTTCGACATTCCAAGGAGGGGGATTACACGTGCCACTGTTATGACACGTGTCCATTAGCCATGCATCAGTGCAACAGGAGGGTAGACCCTAGACCCTAGACGTTCCCGGGAAATGGCAGTCGAATCATCGAGGGTGGAGGTGGCGGATGGTTCAGGGGGAGCGGGGGCATGAATCGATTGATGGCGAAAGAGGCGAATTCAGGAAGGGTAGCGTAGTGGAAGGAGCGATGGATGTGGGGGAAGCGAGGGACCTCATGAAGATGGCGGAAGGCGGCGATGTAGTCGGGGTAGATGGTAGAGAGGGTCCGTCGCCGGGCGGTGCGAAAATCTTCATAGTTTTCGCAGGCGGGAATAGTTCCGGATATAATACAGTATATCTCTACGTGGTTATATTCTCGCCAATCTGCGCTAAACAGGAGTACGTGAAGGAGAAAGGAATCAACCACAGAGCGGGTGGTGGCATGCGGATAAACGGAGACTAGAAGGCGGGTAGCGTAGAGCTGGTAGAAGAGATGATGGGGAAAAGGACACCAACCATCGAGGAACGAGGGTCTATCGGGAAGACGGGTAAGCATGAGGTAGTCACGGGGTCGGCGAGAGAACGACCGGGGACGAAGCCCGAACGCCGAGATCTTGATGTAGACGAATGGAGGATCGGGACGGGGAGCCGGAGGGACCTGGCGATTCACTTCTTCTTCTGCTGCTTCGTGATCCCTCTGCTGCAGTTCCATCGTCTTCTTCTTCTGGCAGCTCCGGATCACGCCACGGGTCCCCGATCGACGGATCGACAGGGGAAACGTTTGCGGTGGGTCGTTTTCCCTCCGCGGTCTCTTGGCGCTTTCGTTTCCTTTGTTCTTGCGCTCGTTCTCGAGCCGCATCACGCACCTCAGCCTCGAATCCTTCGTACTCCGCTTGCTCGTTTCCTTCTTTTTCTTCCTCGTTTGGTTCCACCTATCCCTCCTCTTCGTTCTTTTCCCGCGGTTGGCTCGATTCGTCGGCTATCCCCGCTTCGCTTTCCGGTACGTAGTCTGGATCGTCTCGTTCTTCGCTCGATGGCTCTTCTTCTTCCTCTTCGTCTGCTCCCCCTATCTCCTCGTCCTGCGCCAAGTTTTGCCTCGCAATCGGATCCCAAAACGTGAGATCGGTAACGTCGATCTCCAAGTAGAGCGCCTGGGAGGGATAGAGATAGTTGTCCTCGTCAATCTCTGTACACGTGGACCACACAAGGTGCGGCTCGAGCGTTCGAGACAGCATGTGGGTGCCAGGCTGCTTGTCACCGCGCGACAAAATGCCCTGGGGCAGATTGTCCACCAGCTGAGTCAAAAACACCAGCAATTCGTCCGTGATCAAGGTGAGATTACCTTCCTCCACCTTCCCGAACACAATTCCCAGCAGATCGCCCTGCTCCGCCGTTCTCCAGGCTTGGATGATCAGAAACTCCACGCTGTCTTCTGGGTGCTCCGGTCCTTGTCCGAACGGGGCCGCTTCTGACCAGCGGAACTCTATCTCCAATAGGCAGAAAGCGAGCTCGACATAGTCCTCCCACCACGTGTCCCACTTCTCCTCACTCAATAGTGGCGCATTGTTCTCCTTAACACGGTAGGAGAGAGTGGGAGCTCGCGCTGACTGCCAAACGGTAGGGATGCTGGAGGGAAGGCCGAAGTAGGAGACGCGACAATGACTCATTGGGGCGGCGCGAAGGGACGAAGCTCCGGGAGCACGATCGCTGGCGAGCTTCGAGACGAGCGGAGCTGGAGGTCCGTGTCATGCGCTGGCATGACGGTGTCCCCTCGTCGAGCCAGGAGATCGGTCCATGTTGTCCGCACTTCTCCAGCCCAGGTGCGCAACGTCCGATAGATGTCGGAGTGAATCTCCGGCGGAATCACTGTGATATCTTCTGTAAAGACGACGACGACGGCGATATGGCCCGTCGAAAGGCCGAGATCTCGGCCAGAACGCGCGTAGTTGCCTCTTCCGTGAATCGGAACTCTGCCGCTGCGTAGATCACGGACGTATTGAAGAAAGCTGCAAACCGGACGAGATCAGAGCAGAGATGGGGCTGCTGCACCTGCCGTATGACGCTGATTCACCCCCGCGGAGTGAGAAGCCGCGCGCCGATCACTTGCTCCGTTGCAAAGCTCATGACGATGGTGACGGGGTAATAGAGAGAGAAGGAGACGGAGAGATATGAGAGAGGTAGTCGTCGCCTTCTTCCGCAGTGGAGGAGGAATCGGATGAGTGCGAAGATGGAGAAGGAGGAAGGGGACGGAGGTAGGACACGTGGCGGATGATCGGGCGAGCTGATCGGTTGTCGGAGGCCTCAGGCGCAAGTCGCACGGTGTTCACGCCGTTCGGTCCGAGTTCGATCACGTGAAATCGCCCGAAGAATCGTGGCGCTAGCTTACCCTGGCGAGCACATTTCCTCACCTGCACGATGTCCCCTAATTTGTATTGGGGCCGTGGTCCTGCATTCCCATTCCGGGCCTCGTAGCTTCGGACCTGTCGTCCCTTGGCCAATTCGGTCATTCTTTGCCGTTTTCGGGCTAGCCTGGGCAGGGACCGTTCCATTAGTTCCAAGTGTCGTTTGGCCTTGTCTCGAGCCGTGGCCCTGGTGGGTCGTCGGTTCAGTGTGATTCATCTGGTAGGCTTGGTATCGAAACGCAAGCAACGCTATTGGTCCTTAATTGGAAGGGGCTTAGCCCCGTCGATTCATGAGGTGTACCGCGATGGACCGCCTGGATGTGGTCGACGATATCGGGCCAGGGCCTCGGATCCCGTGCCGCGATATTCCGTCGCAACGCTGTCTTTATCACCCTGTTCGCGTTTTCTACCAGCCCATTGGACTGTGACATGTCGAGTGCAGTGTTCCGTATGGCGACGCCATGTATGACTAGATTCCTCAGTACCTCTCCCCTAAATTCAGCCCCGTTATCGGTCAGGATCTCTTCCGTATCCTGGTGCATCCCGAGAAAGCGGTTGACGTATCGCGCGATTTCGGCGGCTTGTCGCGTGCGACAAGAGTAGGCCTCGATCCATTTCGAAAAGTGGTCGACAAATACCAATAGGACTGAATACTCACAACTATTAGGGTCAGGGGGCACCACTATGTCGGTAGTGTCCATGCCGACTCTTTGAAATGGTCGTTCAACTACCGTTGGTACTATCGATCTTGGAGGCTGAATCGGCGCCTTATCAGCGGCGCAGACTTGACAGTTAGCGACGATGTACTTCACATCGTCGCGGATATTGAACCAGTACCACTCATTTTTGTCGATAGCCGACTCCGTGATTCGTACGGCAAAATGAGCCGCAGTTTCTTCATGTACCGTCTTAACCCAGTCATACCTCATGAACGGATGCGGTACAACCATCCAAATCCCACTGCCGTCCGTTTTTCGTTTTTCTAGTCTGCCCTCTATCCATCGGTAATCCCGAGCCCTCTCGTTGGTCCCCCTCCGATCTTCCTTGGTGAAATCCTGGAGGGGGTTACCCACTAAGGTGGCAATCAAGGCGATATCAGTCCATACTTCGGCCCTTCTAAACTTCCGGGTCTTTTCCAATCCTTCTGACGTGGCATCCAAAAAGCGAGCCTCAGTCGGAATCTTGTCAGTCCGACACAAGGGGCACAACCACGGTTTACTATTGTTTCTGTATTGGATGCACGAGCCATGGGCTCGTGCGACACACTGTTGACAATCTATCCAGTCCGCATACCCTTCCCCGTTAGGGCGCATGGAGACCGAGTACACGCGGGAGATAGCCTCGCAAAAATAGCAAAATTTGTCAGGCAGGGAGAGGATAGACGAAGAGGAAAGGGGAGAGAGAGGGGTAGTGGGGTTACCTCCATCACCCATTGCCACCGTTTTGCTTCTTGCCACGTGGGAGAACTGCCACTTGTCTGTACTTAGGCTCGTTGGTCAAGTTCGGCTCTTTCCACGGTGTGATTTCCTCACCCTTTGGTACCTTGGCAGGTCGATGCAGACGTGTCAGTCCGTCCGCGTTGCCGTGTCGCTCTGTCTTTCGATGGACGATATCGAAGGCGTATTCTTGTAGTCGCACCGCCAAACGGCCAATCATGCCCGTGTAATTAGTGAGCTTCTTCAACGCCAGCAAAGGTTCGTGATCTGTTACGAGGCGAAACTTTTGTCCGTAGGGATACAAATGGAAGTGCTGGATTCCCCAGACTACTGCATAGCATTCGCCTTGAGGTGCTGAGTCATTCCTCCGTTCGTCCGGTACCGTGCGCGATGCGTACTCGATAAAGTGTTCGCGACCATTTTTCCCCTTCTGCGCTAGAATAGCGGAGATAGCTTCCGGTTGTCAGTCCGTGATAAGAATGAACTGCTTCGAGGGGTGTTGCGAAAGCCTATTGGCACTCCGCGTCCTAGTTGAGAGGCTGGTCCTTCCGTAGCAGGTTCGTTAGTGGTCGTGCGATCGCGGCGAAACCCTTGATGAAGCGGCGATAGTACGATGCCAACCCCAAGAAGGCTCGAACCTGCGTCAGCGACGTGGTAACTGAGGCTTCTCTTACCGCCGCAACCTTGAGTCCGGCCGCAGTCCTCCACGTGTCACGACGTAGCCCAAGAACAAAATTTCCGAGAGGAAAAACTCGCTCTTCTCGAGCGATCTTGAACCCAGCGTCTCTCAGCGCTCCCAATGTCCCCTCGATGTGTTGTGCGTGCCCGTGATAGGTCTTCGAGTAGACAAGGATATCGTCCATGTACACGATCACGTAGAAGTTGACCATCCCTTGTGCTAGTCGCGTCTTGTTGACGAAGTTCTGGAATGTCATATTCATTGCTCGATGAAACGTGGCAGGCGCATTGTAAATCCCCATCGGACACCGAACCCACTGCCACGTGCCTTCAAACAATACAAAGGCCATCTTCGGCCGATCTTCCTCCTTCACCAGAATATGATGGAAACCATGCCGAATATCAAATATGCTAAAATAATTGGCGCAACCAATCGCATCCAACAAATCATCAATCCGGGGGAGGGGATACACATCTTTACTCGTGATTTCATTCAACTTGTGATAATCGATGCATATGCGAATGATCCGTTTTTCTTCGGCACTAGCACTACGGGAAATGACCATGGCCCAGTGGCGGGTTCAATCCACCCGCTGGCTTCGAATTCTCGAATTCGTTTGAGAGTCTTTTTGCGCTCTATCAGGGAGTATCGGTACGGCTTGCAATGGATCGGGGAGTGATTCCCCGTCTGTATTTCATGTTGAATAACTAATGACAGGCCAATGTCAGTGTCTGTCACGCTAATTGCTCCCCGATATTCCGTCAAAATGTCCGCAATCAATCGATGAATCTCATCAGGTACGTACTGTGGTACGTGTAACTCGAAAAGTTGGTCCCAGATCCGTACATCTATCTGTTTTGTGCGTGCAGGTTTCGCCACATCGGGTGGGGGTGCAGAAATGAAGGAGTGATCCGATCGCCAGGAGAACACTGTGGCCATCATCTAGGCGTCTTCTTCCCGAATGGCCACGTGTCCTTCTGGAGTGATTCTGTCACAGACATCCTGCCATGGTACGGTTCTAGTCGCGATCTTTACTCCAAGTTCGTCCGAGTCAGCTTCGAGGCGCCCAGGGGGTTCCAAAGAACTTGCTTTTGCCCCCAAGTGCAACAGTCGCACTTCCTTTGCAGGCGTCAAGAGGGACCTTGGTAGATCCGTAATGTCGCAGTAATGCTTTTTATCGCTGTATCTGGCGAGAAGTGGGGTGATCCCTTCGCACAGGGTTTGAGGGGGTTCCAAAGAATCGACCATCCTCGAAATCTGTACGAGAGGTTCACCTAAAATCATAGCCTTAGTTCTTTGAATGTTTCGACTGGTTAGATGCATCATTTTTTCGATCGTTCTAGGGGCGAATAAAAAACACGTTGTCGCACTAGCTTCAAGATCTCTGGGTCATTTTCGTCACTGCTGTCTACTTCCTTTGTTGATGACTCCTTATCCGCGGATTCTTCCCAGGAGATCATACGGAGAGTCCCTACTATCATTGGCGAAACCCGTGGGACTGCGTTGATGGTAGTACGAAGGGTCAGTCTCATCGGTACATCATAGGGCTTTCCTCCTGTATTTCGGAGGATGATTGACCTTCGCTCGAAATTCAGGTTCGCTCGTAATGCTACAAGAGCGGGAAACCCAAAAAGAACGTTGTAGGTATTTACGTCTAGCACGACGACATCTCCCAGTGCGTGCACCTTTCCTAATCGGAAAGCGACGTTGGTCATCCTTCCCACTGTTTTAATCCTTTCTTCGTCGACCGAATTGAGCTGATCTTTCTCGGAAAACATGATCAGATCATTTTTTCTACCTGCCCTCTCAACCACTCTTAGTGAAATAGTCAAAACCGCAACTCCCGAATCGATGATTGCATTGTACGGAATTCCCCAAATTTCGATATCGCATTCCGCGGATTTTCAGGGGATGGGTTTAATTCGTAGGAAATGATCATCTTTCTGTATTAGTCCTACCCGTATTGGATCTCACGTACCAGTCGCGTTTTCGTCTGGCGTGGGACTTTTGGCTTTTACGTTCGTGGTTCGGGCGAGGGCGAATCGTTTCGTGTTGTAACATCTGCTCATTAGCTTATTCAAAGATTCAGAGAAGATGGCCGATAGGAAGTGGAATCCGATGGTCCAAGGCTCGAACGATGTTAAGCACATCGATTTCCCAAGTGAAGAAGGTGGATCCTCCCGACTCCATCTCACCTGAAGAAGGTCGCCACTCCGCCACTTCTCTCTGTTCTGGGGCCGGTCGGATTGTTCCGATCATTCCAAGCTCGGGATACCCAAGCGATACATACTGATCTAACGGGATGAGCTCAGCGGCTTCTTCTGTAGTAGCTAACGCACTTCCGCCACCCTCTATTTCTTCCATCAAAGCTCCTAATCATCCTGGTCCGGTAGCGATGGGAGCCGCCGCCATCGGTGCGGCCCCGACTTGTTGTTGCGGAGGCCGGTGGGGGCAATCACGGGCTAGATGCCCTGGCTGATGACATGCATAACAAACGTTCAGATTGTTTGCGGCTCCTCCGAGAACCGGCGCAGGGGCCAGCCCTTGTTGAACCGGAGGGGCACACACTGCAATGGGCCGCATGTTTCTCATCATAGCTTCTATTCGAGCATTATGCTCCCGCTGTTCTTTTTTGCTTTCATGGATTAAGCTAATTAGCGTTTTGGTGAGCTCAAAAATGGTTGTGGTCTCACTCGATCTTACAGGGTTCTCGATCGGTGGTGGGGGTAACGCCCTTACAGGTGCCGGTATCACCGGAACAAGGACGCTCAGAATCTCACTTGGGGTTAGTCGCTTGGGTCCTATCTGCTCCAGATAGGTGACGGGACCTGACATAAATCCCATGTTTTCAAACTTGTTTTGTAAGGCAGCCAACTTTTTTCTCGCCCTCGTAAGTTCGGACGAATCTCCTTCCCTGGAATAATCTTCTCCTTCCAGGAAGTTCGCCGTGAACTTCCGTTCCATTTCTTCCACAACAGCCATGATTTGTTGCAGCGTGTGAGTGATGGGGGAAAATTGCTTTCGCAATTTAGCCCTTATCGCTCGGCTGCGAAGGCCATCTATAAACAAATCTCTCCCGACTTGTTCGCCTCGCTCAGTTTTTACAAACATTCGGTAGAACGGGTTTCGATACTCGGCGACAGACTCAAGAGGTTTTTGTACTCAATCTTTGATCATGTAAAGTGCTTGTTCTGGGTGGACATAATCAAACCGATTTAAGAAATCTCGTTCGAAGGTCGGGAGATCAACCCATATATAGGTACTAAACCAATGATGAGCATCTCCTCCTAACCGAGCAGGAATATTTATCTATGCCTCGTTATCATCATATTGCTGCGCTCTAAGCGTGGCCAGCCATACTCCTGTGAGATGATGAGCGGGATCGAATAGATAGAGATCGGGTGGCGTCATGGGAGCCCGTGCTCGTGGGACGGGTTGGTTAGGATTTGGTTGATTAGCAATCTGTTGTGGATTCGGGTTTTGTACATTAGCAGCCATTTTGGCTGCTTGTCGATAAGCTGATCTGCTTCGGGTGATGATAGGGTCGCGTCTATGCGCGTTCCGGGGGTGAGGCCGCCCTCGGTTAGCCAGATCGCCTAATTAACGTGCTATCGATCCTAAGACCCAGCCACGTGTCGGGCTCCCATACCAACCTCACGCCCAACGCGACTTCCTGATCGGAGTGGGATGTGGGCCTGGAAGTGCGAAAAGGGGTGTGCCAAGGATTTTTGGGGAAAGTGGAGTCCCAGGTCAAAACTGAGATCTCCTGTGACAGGGTCTTTCGGGGGCACGAGTGCAATTTGGCGAAGAGGGCGTTTTCGGGTTACAAGCGTGGTTCGCTTAGGACCGAGCGAGCCATTGGTTTCGGGGACGGCGGTTCGGGGGTTCAAGTCGGTCCCTTCGGGGTAGGTGGGGTTCCGATGAGTTCGTCTGTCGGGAGTTGCCACGTGGCGCTGGTCGCCGCACGTGCGGGCTAGGCCTTCGGAACTCTGGGGTTCTTTAGTCGCCGCGCCATCGGCAGTTCCCGCAGGGTGTGCTGGGCCAATAGGGGGCTATGGCCGGCCACGGAACGACGCTGAGTTGATGGTACGGAAGAAGAAGGTGAAAGGGAGGGAAACTGGTGGTGATGACGACAAATCCCGGGTGGATGAAGTAGTAGGTATGGTCGGGAGAAGGGAAATCAGAGCACCGAGGGTCGCTAGAGGTGGCGCAGTGGACATAATCGATTCTTGGTGTGGCAGGGATATCACTGAGGATCTCGTTTATTCAAGGGGTGAAATAATCCGGGTCGTAGGATGAGTCAGAATTCCAGGATCGCGTCATCGTGTCATTGCGGTGTTATGGGCTACCTAAGGATGGGTCCGCACCGCGGCGATCGCGGTCACTGTGTGCGAGCACGTCCAGGCCGCGCGTGCTCGTGCAGGACGATTGCGTCGTTGCAAATTTCAAGATGGCCACTCTCAATCGGACCGATTGAGGGCCCCGATGAGTCGACGCCCGAGGATACATGTAAGTGCGCAACTCAGATCGCGTTTTACACGTGTCCTCGCGCGGCGTTCACTGAGCCCGGTATCGGACCGCCTAATCACTTCGTGATGCTCTGAGTTATGCAATATGCAATGATCACAAAACAGCTCGATCCAAGGATAAGCAAGCACACGGACAGAAACATCACTTGCGCAAAATTCCTAGTTTATGCACGGGTGCATAGACTACGATGGACAAAAGAAAAGACAAGAGATTTCCCGCAAAAGGTAAACAAGCAAGTATAGCCTCCATACATTCGTATCCGCAGTAATCATACACACGAGGCCTCAAAGGCGAGGACTGAGATAAAAACCAATCGGAACTCNAACAAGCAAGTATAGCCTCCATACATTCGTATCCGCAGTAATCATACACACGAGGCCTCAAAGGCGAGGACTGAGATAAAAACCAATCGGAACTCGACATCCATGGGAATCGCAAAAACAAGTGTGAGCACAAAAATCCAAGTCCGGGTTTCGAAAAATAGAAAGGAAAACAAAAACGGACGGATCGCCCGGGGCCGTACACGAGACAGGGGGAAGAAGAGACAAAAGAAACAGCAACTCCGCATCCCTCAACCTCAACTCTCTCTCTCTCTCTCTCTCTCTCTCTCTCTCTCTCTCTCTCTCTCTCTCTCTCTCTTCTTCTCTAATGCGGACAGTCCGTCGTCGCGCATCAACCCACGAAGCCGTCACCCCACTTAGTCCTCCCGCACCCGTCAGGTTTGCCCGCGCCCACAGTCCGTCGTGGGCCACGTCAACCCCGTGCGTTTGGCACCAGCTCGTCGGGTCACCCGACTCCTGCTCTACTCACCTCTTACTTCGCTCGTGTGCCGACCCTTCCTGATCGCGCAACCGCGAGCTTCCAACAGCTGGTTAAGACAGCTAAATAATCGCGCAGCCGGAATTTATAGCGTGCATGCATGCACAAAGAACACGGAATTACAAGGACTTAGAAGAAGGGAAGGGGGAGGAAATTGCCTACGTCTGCATGGTCTGATCGCGGCATGGGGGACGTAGCCGCTCTCCACGCATCGATCCGATCATGCAGACCGCGGCTACCAAAAGCGCAGCAAAAGAAAGAGAAGGAGGGCGGGAAAGACGAAGTGCAAGAAGAAAGATACAGTTACAATGGCGCCCGCCCAAAATTACAGTTACACACACGATTAAGGGCGCCTACTAATCAGAGTACCGTTGCAGCCGCATGAAGTAGCGCGTAGACAAAGGGGGCCATGCGGCAAGAAAAATCCTAATTACTGAATTCCTAAATTCCTATCTAATGCGAAGAAGCAAAAAGCACAAATTTCAGAGGGAAAGTCCGAAATTCCGAGAGCCATCGGGGCTCGACAAAATTCGAAAAAGACTCGAAAGAAAATTCAAAAAGAACGAAGCAAATTCCCGCGTGATGTCCGCGCCTTAAAGTTCGAAACCAAAACAAAAAAAATGATGTCAACATTTATTAATCGCGCGCGCGGTGGCGCGCCAGCCATCCAGCCGACCAATCAATCAACTGGCCATCCCAGGACACACCCAGCTCCGAACCCAGCCATTCGAAAAGAAGCGACGGGAAAGACGAAAAAGCAAGGACACTGATGCAATTTCCTACCGATCCCGATCTCCCGCAATTTGCCCAACCTTCCCAACTTAGGACCCCTCATTGCAACCGCGCAGAAAGTATCGCGTTACAGAAAGTGGTTCGTCACATGCCTCAGCGCCTGGCCTGAGGGCCCTTTTGCAGTTCACATGCCCTCACTTCTTTTTGGGGTCCGCTTCTACGTGAGGACCGGTCCAACGCCCCCACTTCGTTTTGGGGTCCACTTCCACCCGAGGACCGGTCCTTCCTTTTTCCAAAAGTCCCAGTTCTACCAGAGCTAGCTGTAGGTAGTCCGCAATTTTGCCAAGGACCGGTCCCCCAATTTTTTTTGCCCCCTAAGAACCCACTTTGCGTCCTGGTCGCCCGCCACCAAAAATGCGACACATTGACACAGACGCCGAAGCCCACTATATCGCAGCCGTAGGGCTGCGAATTTTCCAAAAATCCTTGTCACACCCCATTTTGCCACTTTCCAGGCCCCTTTCCACGCTTTAGTCACTCTGACAGGAAGGTTGTGCAGGGCCTGAGGTTGAGCATCACAGGCCTTCGTTACAGGTTGCCACTATAACGAGGAGGTGATAAGAGCATCCTCGTTAAGTGGGCCTGTGGGGAAGGCTCCATCTATTGGTGGGGAGCATCACCTGCTGGGAAACGGGTCCAGCTTCCCAGGAATAGTACATGATTTGGATGCCAATTGAGGGATTGTTGATGAATACGGGCAGACGCCACTTCGTAGTCTCTGTCCGGAGTGCTCTGATGGTCTTTACAAGGTTGCATTTTGACTATTCGTTGTGCTCATCTGGCATGTGTCGTCTGTCATGCGACTTCTAGCTAGCTGTTCTGCTATTCCCTCCTTTCTGCTGTGCAATGTGTGGCTTTGTCCTCTTTTGGGGATCGTTTATCTTTGGATGACGCCATCTCTTTATTGCTGTTGTGGCCTCCCAATGGTACATGTTCTTGTCCACCATTCTCGTACGCATGGATTTAATCCTCCCTCCCTTTCACCGCAAGTGATCTCTTCTTTATTGCTTCTCTCTGAAATATTATCGTCAATGTCCTTTCCTTCAACCTTCCACCATTTCGTCCTCAGCTTCCCCACCTGTTTATCCACTACGAATATTTTCACTCCGTTTTTTTAAGTCTCTATGAATTTACCTTGCCGCAGTCTACCCTCTTCATACCTGTTTATCCACTCCGAAAATTTTGACTCCGTTTTCGTCTATGAATTTACCTTGCCGCTGCAGGAAAATACCCTCTTCATAAAACACTTAAAGTTTGCAGTCAGAAACTCTTTTTTTTTTCTTTTTTTTTCTTTTTGATGGACCACAGATCAGATATTAAACTGATCAGAACAGATACTACACTTGATCTTAGCCAAAAGGCCGAGAAAGGTGTCCAACTCAGCTGTCGTACTATTCTTTCGC